GTGGTTGTTGTTGGTCTTGTGGTTGTTGTTGGTCTTGTGGTTGTTGTGGCTGTAACCAACAGAAGATGCATCTGACACCAGGTAGAGTTGGGGGATAGGAAACACCACAGACACATCTGCGATCCTTCTGTTCTGTTGGCCTCTCTTGGTCCATTGGCCTGGACCGTTCACGGCAACTGAGTTTATTGCCTGCATTTCTGTCCTTTCTGGTCTATTTGTCACATTCTAGCTACAGAAATATTATAAAAAAAAAAAATCACACATCTAATTATGCCCATGCCCTGCTTAAAACTTGATCAGCCATCCTCCTTGACTATCCAATAAAAGAAGCAAATGAATCAACAAACAAGCAAACAAAAAACCTCAGCCCTGCTCGCTGCCCTGTAAGGAGCCACCCGCTCTGCTGTCTTTCCAATCACATGCTGCTTGAAGGGAATCATCTCACTTTCCTCAGCTGAATACAGCCCTTCCTTCACTCTCAGATCTCAGCGAGAAGCTCTCTTCCATGCTGTAACAAGTCTTCTCTGTCTCACGCTCTAATGCTTGAACATCAAGGCATCTTGCTGTATTTTTACAACTACCCACTTATTTGTTTGTTTAAAGTCTGCTCCTCCCACCAAACTATCATCACCACAAGGAAACCCAGATTTTATTCTGCCGATTCTGTTCTTATTCATGAATCTGATACCCATTACGGTGTTCGGTGTTGTACAGATGAAGCAATACATAGAAGTGAGCCCACAGCCAGGAGTCACAGAGTACGCCCATGGTGACTTGTTCCTCCTGAGGCAGGAGGATCTCCAATTCAAGATCAGCCTTGGCTACATAGAAAGTTGCAGGTCAGCCTATATGCTACATGGTGAGACTCTATTTCAAAATGTATTAAGTGAGCCCTAATTGTGCAACTTCTGGTGAGGATATAGACTTTGTTATATGTTGACCATTGATTTGTGCCAAGCCTTCCTACTTCATTAACATAGATCTTGAAGTCATTAGCCACAGGTTACTGTATAGCTTTCAACCTCTCCAGGATATGACAAATCCCTATGGGCTTTAATGAAGCAGAAGGATCCCATTTGTTCACATAAAAATTAGGAGGCCTGAAAACACTGAGCCAATTTCTGCAAAGTGAGGAAAAGTGTCCAGATAAATAGTACCTTCCATTTCCAATCTGACTCTTGCATTTATCCCCTTTCTCATTTAGGAGGCTGTTCTGGCTGTAACTAGTATGGTGGTTTCCCTGGCCACACTATGTGACACCATTTGAAAGACAGCTTCCCCACCCATTGCTCAAGTAAGCACAGCATCTTCACCAACACCCACTGAATGACTCTGTTACCACAAAGCAGAAAAGGCTTTCTCAGAGTTGAGTCCCCTTCTCTCCTCACCTCTCCTCAGCTCCAGGCGCACCGTCTTCTTGACATCATTGAACCAGCCAGGCACTTCTATACGGCAGCAGTACACCCCACTGTCACCTTGATTCGTGTTTGAGATAGTCAAGGACACATCGCCCAACCGGATACTCCCCTGAAGTGTGTATTTCATGGACTTCCGGGTGATGACTTTTGTTCCATCCGTGTGGAGAAGCTGCTCATTGCACTTGGAATTAGGACACGCGCCTTTGCCCCAGCACATGCTGTTGCGGCTCACGGACCAGGAAGAGTACTTACAAGGCAGAGTCACCGACTGGCCCAAAAACCCTCTTACTGTATCCTCTGAGGCAGCTGGTGCTACAGGAAAAAGTGAGAAAGCTATTATGCAGACAAAATCTCTCAAATAACCGCAGAGCAGTGCCGCACGCCTATAATCCCAGAACTCAGGGAGGCAGAGGCAGGTAGACCTCTGTGAGTTTGAGGACAGCCTCATCTACAAAGAGAGTCCAGGCTTCACAGAGAAACCCTGTCTAGAAAAACAAAAACAAACAAACAAACAAACAAAACCTCTTGAATATACTGCGCCGTTTGTGTACATATAGAGGCTTCTGGAAAGATGAAGGAGAGTGCGCTATTTCTTTAGGATAAACGTTAATGAGCTTGCCTGTGCTCCTGAGCTCCTAAGTCCCCAACCTTCTACCCCCAAATTGGTGACAGGTGGTACAGAGTCTCTAAACGCCCCTCCCCAGTAAGGCCTCTTTGCCGATTTAAACGCTCCTATCTCTAGTACCATTCAGTAAATCAGCTCCCGATTGAAGAGGCCAGACCCTATAATCTAGGTCACATGTTTCACCTAAAGCCACCCAAAATCTGTGCCTGCCCCCAACCACTCCAATCCCACCTTGCTGCAGCTCACTAAGTAGATACAGTGTGCTGCTGATTTGAATGTCTCCAATGAGTTACCCAGCCCAGACAGAAATCTGACAGGAAAGAAAACTGCCGAGTTTCCTTCATTCTACACTCCCTGTCCAGAAGGTGAGTTGGGATCTGCTCACTCTGGATAAGCTATTTGCTTAGAAGCTCTTGCTAGGAAGAGTTTGAGAATTTGCACTTCTTGACTCTGTTTTTAAATTGTATTTGTGTGTGTGTGTGTTTGAGAGAGAGAGAGAAAGAGAAAGTTGTGTGCATGCTACATTGAGCGTGTGATGGTGAGACATTTGTGAATCGGTTCTTTCCTTCCACCTTCACATTGGTTCTGGGGATTCAACGGTGGTCTTCAGGCAGCAGTGCTCAAGCTGTGGGTTGTGATCCCCAAAAGATAATCAGGAAACAAAGATATTTACATTATGATTCATAATTACAGTTATGAGGTAGCACTGAAATAATTTTATGGTTGGGGGTCATTATGACAGGAGGAACTATGTTAAAGGGTCTCAGCTTTGGGAAGGTTGAAACCCCTGTTCTTTCCCTTTTGAGCCATCTTGCTGGCCCTAACTTATTTATTTATTTTTAAAATTATAATATACATTTGATGAAATTTGTCTTCCATTTTTTTCTCCTCCAGTTTCTTCCCTCTTGCCTCCACACCCTTCCAACCTTTTGTGCTCTCTTGTTTAAAATCCTAAATGATCATCAGTATAGTGTTATCCGTACGTGCATGCATGGAGGGCCATCTAGTCGAGCAGGGGTAGCCTCCCAGGGGCCACATCCCTCAAAAACAAAAACAAGTAAAACCAAACCTGCCTGTCCCTCTCCTAGGGGCGATCGATTGTCAACATCCTCTCTCCTAGGCATGGGGTTTCATGCCCAGCTCAACTGTGCTGGCATTTTCTCTGCCTTGATCTCATGCTGATTTTATGCATGCAGCCACAGCCCCTGTCCCACTTATTTCCTCTTCTTATAAATAAATAAAAAGATTTATTTGGCTGTGGTGGTAGTGGTATACCCCTTCAATCACAGCAAGGCAGAAGCAGGCAGATCTCTGTGAGCTCAAGGCCAGCCTGGTCTGTAAATCGAGTTCTAAGATAGCCAGGGCTACACATGAAAATCCTATTCTGAAAACAATATATGTTTGGTTTTTATTTAATGCAAATGAGTATTTTTGCCTTTTGTATGTGTGCCCGATGATACGGTAGCCAGAAGATGGTACCAGATGCCCTGGAACTGGAGTTATAGGCAGTTATGGGTTGCTGTGTAGGTGCTGGGAACCAAACCCGGGGCCTCTGGAAAGGCAGCTAGGGCTCTGAACAGCTGAGCCACCTCTTTAGACCCCACCTTTTAATGGGCAAATAATAATTATATATATGTTTATAAGATGCAGTGTAATATTCTGAACTATGTTCACAGAAAGGGGGACAAGCTTAGTTAACATTACTATCTCACTAACGCATCATTTTGTGATGAGACGTTAAACTGATTGAGAAATTTTGAAATAGGCACTGTTATTCTGATACAGTCTCTTTCGTGAAGTGGATAAACAAAGTCATTGCATCTTCTCATGGGCTCTGATTTAGCATATGCCTAGAAAGTACCTGCTGAGGTAGACAGCAAGCTCAGGGAACCAGTGCCTCCATAATGGAAAGAAAGGGTTGGAACTGGGTGTAGAAGTCAAGAAGGATTTAAACTTCATAATGTTTTTTTATCTTTTTACCCAAAAGTTTCCATATTACTCACCTAATTAAAAATCACTACAAAAAAAGGAAGCAAGAAGCTTCATGTGGCAGAAAAATACACGCTCGGGTAACATTGTGAACGTCACTCTAGGAGCCCGTGTGCGTTTGGGGGTTCTTGAAAGAAAGCCACACTCTTCATTATTGCAAGGCACAGAGAACAGTACTTGCCACAAAAGGAGTTCCAAGGTTTATATGCCAACAAACACCATGAAACTAACCTAATGGAATTCCTAATGATTTTAGAATGAGGAGCCACCTTAGAATGAGGAGCCACCCATATTGGATGTAGAAACACAACAAGAAACATATTCCTTCAGATATGAAACTACTGGGGAGAAGATAAATCAGAGCAACCAGGTCAGTTCCTCGCCTGCGGGAAGGTGACCTCTTTGCTGCTGCCAACTCATTCCTTCTCCAGCCTGTGACTGTCCCCCTATCCAAACCCCGGTTTTGCCAGAGGGAAGAAGTCCTAGATGTCCTCTGACACATCTACTTTGGAAAGTGGTCATCCACTGTCTTCTAAGCTGACCATTTGAGTGAAGACACATTAAAACATAAAGAAAGAAGCCAGGCATAGAGTTACACATCTGTAATCCTTACACTAAGTAGGCAGAGGCAGGAGGCCTGCAAGCTCGAGGTAGCCTGTGCTACCTAGCAAGACTCTGGCAAAGACAGACAACGGCCAAAGGAGGGAACACAGAAATCAGTTGACCAGGTGCTGACTTCTTTAAGCAAGGCTGGAGAATCCCATTAAATCCTTGTTCTGGCACAGATGGGACATGGTGATGTAAACTCCAGCAACTTTTTCTGTAGTTTCACTATGAAAAAATAAACAAACAAACAAACAAAAAAAAAACTGCTTGGTCCAGCAGTTACACCAGCACTCAGAGGGTAAGGCTGGAGAATGCCAAGTTGAAGTCCAATCTGGATTTGATTGTTAGACACTGTTTCAAATAAATATAATTAATTAATTATTAATTAATTAATGCTCAGCTAAATTTCAAAGAGAAGATGTGAAAACAAAAATGACTGCTTTCATTCCGTAGATTACTTCTGGAAAGCCTATGCACTCATGACATCAAGTGCCTCGTCCACCTTCTGGGAGGTACAGTGTATCTGGGGATAGAGACTGTAGAGTGAGCATTTAGTATGGTGACAAGTTCTCTAATATAGGAACTTCAGAGATAAGAAGTCAGCAGAAACCCCTAAAGCTAGAATAGGAAAAGTTTGAGTTTCCTGGAGACCTGGGTTGACCTCCTCTATTCAAGAATGAAAGAGAGGGAGAGGAAGAGGCAGAGTAATGCAAGACACATTCACGGTGTCAGCATTAGTGACTGGGAGGGCTACAGCCGTGACCTGACTGGTTGCTGTGCACCTCAGGGTGTCCATTCAAACTCACTGTTCGTCTGTGTCAGTCAAAGCCTGAAAACAATATGCCAAAGAGAAACCTCCCCTTACTTGGGCACAGTGACACATGCTGAAATCCCAACACTAAGGGGGCTAAAGCGGGACTGACTTCCAAGCACCCTGGGCTATACAGTGAGATCCTGTCTCAAAGAAACAAAAACAAGAGCAGGGCATGGTGGTGCATGTCTTTAATCCCATCCCTTGGGAGGCAGAGACAGGTGGATCTCTGTGAGTTTGAGGCCAGCCTGGTCTACATAGTGAGTCCAAGAACAGCCAGAGCTGCATAATAGAGAGACTCTGTCTCAAAGTATTAAAAAGGAAGAAAAAAAAAAAAAGAAGAAAAGGAGAACTATAACTCATTTTGAAATCCCATCCCTAGCAAAACAAAATTTGAAATATGTCCCCTGAAAACAAAGGGAAAAATAAGAATCTAAACAAGTACTCTTAACCAGACAAATCACTTGCTTCTTGCTTTAGAGCGCCTACAGATGAAATTTCTCACAATTGTTCATTTGACACATTGTTTCTATGTCTTCAGTTAGAAATAAGAGTTAATTAAACTATTTATTTTACTCGGGAACACCAAACCATTCTCTAGAAAAATCACTGCATAACAAGTTGAGGAAGAAATTCTATAAAAATGCAAGTCTAGAAAGAGGCAAGTTTTAGTGGAACCCTGAAGTCTGCCCACCAAGGGGCCCAGAATGGAAGCACCCAGCACACTTACTCAGAGACATCCACCAGATCCCCATCATCAGCCAGAGAAGGAGAAGCCCCTTGGACATTGTGACAGGAGTCTTTGTGTCTGTCAAAACCCATGCCTTATATCACAATTACTGCTGACAGGGTGGGACACTGGACTTTCACTTCCCTTTCTGCATTACAATCTTCCCGTTCCCTCATCCTGAATGACCTCCCTCAATCTGGGATATGTGATCAAAAGTGCTGAGTACTTTTCTCATGGCAGCCAGTGAGTGTGTACAAATGTGTGGGCTGACAATAGGGTGTCAATGTGCCTCTGTGTCCTCTGTCCTTTGTGTGCCCGAGCATCTGTGTGTGCCTGCTTATGTGCATGTGTGTCTGCATAAACTGTGCAGAAGTTACTCTTCCTCATGGTGGCCAAAGCAAAGTTAAACTGGCTTTTCTGGAACTCACTATGTAGACCAGGGTAGCCTCTACTCCTGGGAACTCACCATGAAGCTCTCGAAACCTTGCCTTCTCAATGAAAAATGAAAAGTTAGGTGCAATCCATCACCAAAGAAACCCTGCTACCTACATTGTCAGAGTTTATTGGAACAGGAGAAAAGAGCCCCAGTAGAGGAAGCTACTGTGTTAAAAACTACAGTGTTTTTAAAACAGACCCACCCATGAGCAGACACCAGCCTACCACTCCCCAAAGGGAAAGAGCATAAGAGATGAATTGGAAACCAAATGCATGAACAGGATGGTTTTATAGTTCTTCAGGAGTGTATAAATAGAGTGACATACCCAACTCTACCTAAACAAGGCAGAGGAAAAATCAGGCCAATCTTTGCCAACCAGATCGCAATTAGGACCAAAATACAGTGTAGAATCTTGAAACAGAAAAAATAACATTAGTTTGGCGATTTTTGTTTTTTTGGTTGGTTTTGTTTTGTTTTGTTTTTTTGCTTTGTTTTGTGTTCTTTTTTAGAGAGGCAGCTCCATGGTTAAGAACACTTGCTGCTTTTGCAGAAGAATCAGGTTCTGTTCTCAGCACCTACATAGCAGCTCATAGTTGTTTGTAAATTCAATTCTAGGGAACCCAACACACTCTTTCGACTTTTTTGGGTACCAGGCATGCATGTGGTATATATATATATGCAAGCAAATACTCATACACATAAAATAAAATTAAAAAAGTTATTTTAAAAAAAGACCATTAGGTGGGGCAAGATGGCGGTGCCAGGAGGACTCTCATTCTGAGGAGCAGCACAGCAGGATTGTCACAGTGACCAGCAATCAGAACTCTCAGCCATAAAACACAAGTGATTGTGTTTCACAGGTGAGAGGATACCCCACGGTGGGGGATTCAATCAGCTTTAACTCACCCGGCTAAACTTCGGAAGAGATCCTGGTTCCGCCAGGCGCTTGGTCGCCAGCCCAGAGCTACACGCCAGCGTGATCTGGTCACTGTCCCAGACTGAACTGAGGGCCCACAACACCACAGACTGGATTTTCCAGTCGAGAGATAACCCCCCGGAGCAGAAAACGATTGGGACCGACCTTAGGTCACCCAGACATCCCCTGGAAAAGACTCGGGTTCCGCGGGCGCCCCAAGAGCCAGCCCGGAGCCAGAGCAAGGGACCCAGGTGCATGCACAGGGACCTGCCTGCGTGCCTGATTTGCCGCCTCAGATAGAACTGTGGGCACCAGGGCACCAGGGCACCAGAGACTGCGTTTCACTGTCAGGTGCAAACCACAGGGAGGGAAACGGCTGGTCTGATCTCAGAGCACTCAGCCGACACCCCCACCCCGAAAAGATCTCGGGAAAATTACCCAGTTTAGGCAGCCGCCAAGGCTCCCAAAGGCCAGAAGGGCGGAGCCACAAGCGGGCATCTGTGCCTGTGGGTTCTACTTGCTACGCCAGACAGAACAGCGGTCCCCAAAGCAAAGACTGGGTGTCTCTGGCAGGAGGAAATCCCCAGCGGAGGGGATCATCAGGTCTAACGCTCAGAACACCAGCACCAAAAGACTTCCTGGATACACGCAGACTCTAGGCTCTAAGGCAGGCAGGAGCGCTTTGCTCAGCTGCCATTATTGAGTTCCCCTAGGGCACTGGGACACACAGCTGCATCCTCAGACCTACAAAAGCCAGAGAGCCATTACAGCAGCCCTCAGATACTGTGCCAAGGATCAACCAGTTATCCCTAGCTAGACTGTCAAAACTGTGGGAATCCCTGGTCCTTCAAGAGGGCTACACCCACAGCATCTGGACCAAAGTAGTGCCTGCAGCCGCCATCCCAGACAGGGACACACAGCTTCTGGTCCAGAGTGAGGCACTCAGCCTCCAGACCAGAGCAGCGCCCCCAGGCACCAACGCAACCTAGGTGCACATTCTCCAGGCCCAGAGCGGAGCACTCAGCCTCTGGCCCAGAGACTTGCTGGGCGCACCTCTCACTTTCCCGAACAGAACTGTGTGCCCCAGGATAACAGACTGAGTTTCCCTGTTGGGAGAAAACCCCACAGCTAGGGAATCACCAGGTTCTTCAAGAGGACTGTACCTGAGCAGCAGCACACTATATTTATAACAAGAAACCCAGCAGTGGGGCAGCTGTCTTGAGAACTTCTATGGGTAAGAGGAGATCCCCCCCTGCCTAACAAAGACCACAGCTACTACTCAGGGCTATAAACCTGAGGTGAGCAGTGGCAATTCCTGAGAAACACTGGCCATACAGTGACCATAACCAAAAAGCAGAGAAGGACTCCTTCAGGAAAAATCATCTTCCGGCCAAGGGGATACTCCCTACCTCAGGACTCCAGGAAGCACAGAACCTAACAGCCAACACCTAAATCAGCCCAATGGATAGAGGTCAGCGTAAAGGCTCAACCAACAAAAGACAGAGCAATATGGCATCTCCAGAACCCAGCCATCCAGAGGCGAACAGCCCTGAACAATGCAGCATAATAGAAAATCAAGAAGATGACCTTACATCTATGCTGATAAAGAGGATAATAGAGGAAACAAATAATGTACGTAAAGAATTAGAGGAAGATAAAACCAAACAGATCATGGCTATCCCTAAAGAAATGGAGGAAGTTAAAGACAAGCAGATTATGGCCATGCGTGAAGAAATACGGGAAGATGCAGCCAAACAGCTTGCAGCCTTCAGAGAAGAAATAATTAAATCACTGAAAGAAATAAAAGGAACAGAGTTGAAGGAACTAAAAGAAAAAGAGGAAAATACAATCAGACAGGTGAAGGAAGTAAACAAAACAACTCAAGACCTGAAGATAGAACTAGAAAAATTAAAGAAAACACAAATGTAGGAAATAATGGAGAGGAAGAATTTAGGGAAGAAAACAGGAACTACAGAGGTAAGCATAACCAACAGAATACAAGAAATGGAAGAAAGAATCTCAGGTGTAGAAGATACAATGGAAGAAATCGATGTATCTGTCAAAGAAAATGTTAAATCCAAAAAATTCCTGACACAGACTGTCCAAGAAATCCAAGACAATATGAAAAGACAAAACCTAAGAATAATAGGTATAGAGGAAAAAGAAGACTCCCTTCTCCAAGGCCCAGAAAATATTTTCAACAAAGTCATTGAAGAAAATTTCCCCAAGTTAAAGGAGAAGCCAATAAGGATACATGAGGCTTACAGAACACCCAACAAATTTGACCAGAAAAGAAAATCCTCCCACCACATAATAATCAAAACAGTAAGTATACAGAACAAAGAAAAAATACTAAAAGCTGTAAGGGAAAAAGGCCAAGTAACATATAATGGCAAACCCATTAGAATCACACCTGACTTTTCAACAGAAACTATGAAAGCCAGAAGGGCCTGGACAGATATCATGCAGACCCTAAGAGAACACAGATGTCAACCCAGGCTACTATACCCTGCAAAACTCTCAGTCCTCATAGACGGAGAAAACAAGATATTCAATGACAAAAACAAATTTCAACAATACCTACACACAAATCCAGCATTACAGAAGACACTGGAAGGGAAAATACAACCCAAGAAAATTAGCTTCTGTCAAGAAAACACAGGAAATAATTAACCTTACTACAGCAAAACAAAAAGCAACCAAGCACACAACCTTATGAACACAGCCAACATCAAAATCAAAGGATCTAACAGCCCCTGGTCATTAATCTCTCTCAACATCAATGGACTCAACTCTCCAGTAAAAAAAAACAGATTAACAGAATGGATACGTAAACAAAACCCAGCAATCTGTTGCATACAAGAAACACACCTAAGACACAAAGATAGACATTACCTGAGGGTAAAAGGTTGGAAGACGACTTTCCAAGCAAATGGACCCAAGAAACAAGCAGGAGTAGCCATTCTAATATCTGATAAAATAGACTTTCAACCAAAATTAATTAAAGGGATGGGGAAGATCACTTCATACTCATCAAGGGAAAATTCCACCAGGAAGACATCACAATCCTG